AGGGGGAGAGTGAAGAAAAGAGAGAGAGAGAGAGAGAGAGAGAGAGAGAGAGAGAGGAGAGAAAGAGAGAGGGAGGAGAGAGGGAAAGGGTGAGATTCAGATTGCATGAATTAATGAAAAGGAGAGAGAAAGAGAGTGGGTGTGAGTGAGAGAGAGAATAAGGGAATCGGGGGAGAGGGAGGAGGGAGAGGAAGGGGGGGGGGGCACAGGGAAAGGACAAAGACATAGAATGTGATGGAGAGAGAAATGAAGGTAAGACATACAAGTACAAGTACATAGAGACACAAAGTTCAAAGGCAAAGCAACAGAGATCTAGGGGAGAGGGACGTTGCAAGTTTTTCCTCTTCAGAGTCAAGTTTAAACCAAGAAAAGAAAAAAGGTTATAGATAATCTTCAAGGAAGAACAAAAGAACAATTCACACAACAAACCTTTGCTTTAATGGCAACAAACTTTTGAAAGATACTCCCGAAATAGTAATGTTCAATTCTTCAATGTCATTTGAAGAATTCAATCTATACGATACCATTTTTTGCTAAACTTTCAAAATGACTTTGTGTGAATGCAACTTCATTCCTTCTCACCTCCAAGATGCAAACAACCTCATTTATTCCAGAGGAAATTGCTAGGACATCTCACCTATCAATTATGTATCATACCTCCATCCCCCTGAGCCGATTAAACTAGATTATTTCAAACTCCAAAGAAGGAAGTTAGGTTGCTACTTGGTGATCTAGCATCTCTGTATGGCTCATGTTTCCACAGAGATTCACACATTTCATAAAGTAGGTCCATAGCATGGTTGATTGCAAACGATATCGTCGTCAAAAGTTCATTGAACAGCCATTATCAAATTTCTTGCTCCCTTAGGTCATGTTCACATCCGTTTGTCTTCTTCTGGATAACAGAGTTAACTTCGTTTATGACAGATAAAATGATGAGAAGCTTATCTGTACGATTCAGAGGAAAGGGGTCATCTAAATGGTTCGTAGGGTCATTTCACACCCGTTCATCATATTCTTGATAGCAAAATTCACTTATGAATTATGACAGAACTAGCTTTAGTTATAGATCTGTGAGATTCTTTAAAAGTTCTGTTCACATATGTGGGTCTTCTTCGGGATAACACAGTTCGGTCTACTAATAAAGTATGAAAAGGGGCAATCTGTATGTTCCATAGGGTCATTTCACATCTGACTTATCATCTTCAAGATAACACATTTCACTTGTACGTTTAGCATTATTGTACTAGCCTTATCAATCATAAGAATATTCTATATCCGTTTTATCTTTAAGAATTGAGATATGAACATGCTACACCTACCCCCAAAGCTGATAAAACTAACAAAACTTACTTGTATGATTCAACGTGGTATGGCCATATTCTTATATGTATTGTATATTCATACAGAAGGTATTATAAAATGTGCATATCGCAACCTAAATCATTTTCAAGGGACCATTACAAGGTCTTTCAATTTAACTCCTTTGATGCTCTCCCTAGATACGGGTACAACCTGTCTTCAACGATAGGTCATTTCTTCCCCCCCCCCCCCAAAAAAAAAAAAAAAAAACTGAATCTGAACACAGGTCAAACTCCATGCCAATGGTCTACTTCTTAAGACATGTTACCAAGAAATTCCTATTCTCCTCCTACTGCTTTTCATCTCGGCCATGCAGCTAATCCAAACATCTCACTCCACCGGTGCCGGAGAGATGCGGTCATCTCCATCTACTGGAGCATCCTCCCAAAGACAGACAGATGTCTCCTTGCTTCATTCGTCGCTTCATTTGTCTCGGGGCGGAATTGTTCAGACAACGAGAGGATCAATTATCATTCACTGTAGGCTAATCTATGAATCATATTGGATTGCCCCCAGAGCAGGCATCAACTACAAATGGAAGTGTCGTTTTGTTACCTTATAAAAATCCCTCGTATAGATCTGCAGAATCCACAGTGGATTAAAATCCTGTTCCAAATATATTATGAACAGTTTCATTAGAGGGATGGATACATTGAGGCAAAATTTTTGTCTGCAGTTGGGAATTCTCTACAGTTATGAAATCAACTGATTTTTATATTCACAATATTATTAACATTTTTACACCAAACTATCATATGATATGTAGATCAAAATTACTGAAATGTTCAGGTTTTATGTTATACAACACCAAATCAAGCCATCAAACAAAATCTGGGCTCAACGAATATGTTAATATTTGTACCCTGGTTGTTTTTCATGTGTGAAAAATAGGTATTATGGCTATATTCTCTGTATGTTTATGGTATTTCTGAGGGAACTAGACTATTTTCTTATGGAAATATGGAAAATAAACAAAAATTGAATTCTTAAAGGCTAAGGATATGGAACAAGAGATGAAAAAAATATTTTCTGTGCTGTTTTTTCACAAGGTTTTCGACTTGTTTTTGACTCCTTTATAATATTATGACAGCCTTAATTATGAGGGAAATTTTCAAGATTTGTATGTGGGTCCTGCCTAATTAATATCCCAATGTAATACCTCTCAAATCTGAGTTAATATGAATATTAGTGTGACTTAGCCGGCTATTTTATTTTTAAATGACTCATTATGTTCAATTGGGTGTCGGTGTGTTCTCCCAATATTTGCCTTAAACAGGGTTTCTTTCATCGATATCATATTACCTGTAGAGCATGTACCCTGCATTTCTACATGACAAACATAGTCCTTAATTCCCTCTTATGATGTAAGAAGAGAATTCTTCGCAAGCATAGTCCAGTTCAAATCCCCTTCGTCCATTTCTCCTCCATCGGATATGAACCAATGATCAATATTTAGAGTAGACCGAGTTACTGCGCGACCATGACTCATCAGAAAGAAATCATGGAAGATTTGAAGTGACGCTATAAAGTAAGAGGGCTTTCCTCCAGTCCGTCTTCGTCTTCATCACCCTGCAGACGTTGAAATTATTCTGCTTAAATTCAGCCATTAGGAGCTAACATGTGCGTGGAAATTGTGAAAATGAACGGGCCAGAGGAAGTGCTCCAATCTGCATTTGATTGTGAACTAACTTGAACATATAAAAGCTGAGGGATGGATTTTTTTTTAAATCAGATTTAATTTGCTCAAACTTTTCACTGATTTGTTAATTCTTTCATTATTATGCTTTTATCAAAACCACGTTAAAGGTATTGTAAAGTTTTGGGAAATTTTGAAAAATGGTTGGAAAATGGGTACCTTTAATGTCAGGGTGGACTTCCCCTTTAAAACTTATCGTATGATTAAATCTGTGCAAGATTTTTTCCTTCGGAACCCAAATCTAAAACCCTTCTGCACCGTCTACGGACTAGAAACGGACTTGAGATCTCACACGTTAAAGCCAAGGTCACGAAAGTTCAGCCAGCATCGCGGAACCTTCCATGCATGCTTTTCTAATTGATTGGTTGATTGTTTTAGCATCTCATCGATGCCGGTCGTCAGCTACCCGAGCCAAGTGTTGATCTAGCTGCGTGATCGCGGGCGCTGGAAGTCATGGCAGTAATATGATCGCTTTGATTGCATTTCAATGCGCTCGCAGTGTGCCTCAATTAGAGTTTGTTTAGAAAGAGATAGAAGTATGCTCATTGAATTCTAAGTATTCTTGGTAGCTGATTTGTATCCTACTGCGAAATGAAGGAAGTGGCAAAATGAAGGGCTTAAAGAGGTTGAAAACTTTACACAAAGCAACTGATAATTAATCTTGAGTGATAATCTTCTTTCAAAAACATCTTCAAATGCATTTTAATTATATGTTATTCCTAGATTTGTATGAGTCTTTGCAGAGGCAGATTTAAGACGGTGCACAAACAGGAACCAGTCCATGCACCCTTTGTTGAATCTTAGTACACAAAATGAAACTATGCCCACTTTAATACTGTGTTTTTTGGGCTCCCTACCCAAACTTTCAAATCATATTTTGAAACCCCAAAGGTGCATGATGTTTTTAAAAGGTAAATTAACGCGTAAACATTGTAACAACTGCTTTTTGGGGAGTTTTCTTTCTTCAAGGATTCTTTTTACATTGTGCCACCCTCCCCCCCCCCCCCCCCCACCCTTTTCAGAATCCTGGATCCACCCTAATTCTTAGGTGTACACCACATGGATCTCATCCCGGCTGTCATACACTCACGTCTTAATCCTAACGGACGGACGTCACGGCCGGCGTGGGCCAAACTGATGATATACAACCGACCTCTAAGGCTCTCACCAACCAGCTTGATGCATTCAAAAGGGTGCTGCGGTGACAGCATCACGTTCCATTACAGCTTCCCAACAATTAACTCCTCATTCAAGCCATGGACTGTCTCGACTAATCTATGTTGATGATAACTATTTTTTCTTTCATCTTATATGAGCTGTATGACATGTTAAATCAGCAGCAAGTACCTCACAGTAAGGTATAGTCACTGGTTGTGCTTTTTAATGAGTGAAATAAAATGTTTTTATTAAAACATATTATTGAGAGTAACACTATCTGCTCGTGTAGATCTTTCAGACTACTTCTGTTGAAAACTTATCACAGAGCATGAGAGTGCAGCGTTCGTTGTAAGTGTGTCCGAAAAGCTTGAGTATTTAGTAAATGAGTCAAGCAAGTCTGTACTATCTGAACTAAGACTTTACTTTGGCCTAAATTTCAATGGAGAGTCACTACTAACATGCCAAACATGCACAAGACAAGAGTACAGACTCAAGTTAGCTTTTCCAGCTGACTCTGTACTTCATTGTCTGATTAGAGTAGATCGAGTCTCTGGCAATGCCCTAATACAGATTATGCAAAAAGCAGTCACTTCATGTTCCATGAATTTACAGCAGTACCATCTGATACCAGACCTCAGGCTTTCAAATCTACGAGACCCTAGAATACAGTGTACCAGGTGCACAAGTACAAGTGTAGTAAAATACAAATCTAGCACTTGTGATTGCCATAGAGATGAGACAAGGCAGGACAATTAAAGTACCAAGTTCTGGTTCACAAACTTACCTGTACCCAACGCGAAGAAGAAGCTTTGTTTTGGCTTGGCTTCCAGTATTGCCTTGACTCTCATGGCCATCCGACGGTTCCTCTTGTAGATCAACTCATAGCGGAAATAACGGTCAATCTGATTGGCCACTTCAATCTCCTCTGGAGTGAGGGTGGTGTTCTGCATACTAGGAACCTGTGCAGGTGTAAGTAAAAGAGAACAATTTTTGGTGATAAATGTTGTTATGGAACGATAGGCAATTGGAGCAGAAACATTGGTAATAATCGTACTACACGCAGAAATTATATATATTTTTCAAGCCTTTTGTTCAAGGGGGGTTCTCCAAAAAGTGGAAAATAGTTTTCTTGAGACAATATTCATGCTGTCGAGGCTTCCCATCTAGCTAAACCATCCACCACTCCAATTTGTATTTGCTATCATACACGTGCAGTTATGGGCATCCAATTTCGTTTTTAAGTCTACAAAGTTCATATTTTTCATTCCAAATCAATTTCGTAAAGGATTTAGAAAACATAAATGTTTGATCTCCACCATACAAATAAAACTCTCTGACATTTTCACCTTACATGTCAGCCGTTACTTTCCTTTTTTCACTTGTCTGTATTCCAAGAGTTAAATTGATCATTTCTAATACTAAATTTGTTGGGAAACATAATGCCTCAACACACTAACGTGATAACTGAATTAGATATATTCAAGATGAACAATTGAAAAAGAGGGGCATTACAACTGTAGAATTGATGTTTGCCATTTTTTCCTTGGATGACGATTGACGTGTAATTCAGTTGCGACCACAGAAGTTCAATTAAGGCAGGACAAACACGTCGTAATTTGATTGGAAAGCATCAATTGAATTGTTTCCTAGACCTTTGCTGGAGTGAAAGTGTGTCAACGCGATAACTCAATAAACATTTCCATTGTCAAAAACATGTTGATTTGATCGACCCTGCATGTCAAACATCAATTCATTAAGACTTGCCTCCTTGCCTCTTCCGTAGCTATGAACTCTTGTGTAAGAATTCTCTTGATATTTGCTCATTTTCATAATTAATAAGCTTGAAAGCAATAAAGTATGCACTGGCACTGCACTCCAAAGTTGTATTTCAATGAGAATGATCAATAAAATATATTCACAGGCATCTCAAGTCATTACTAGTAGCCTACACTTTCAGAGTTGCTTTGTGCACCAACTTCAATATATAAAGGTGGAATAACAGTTTCCACAGAGCTGCTCAAGTGCGCTTAAATGTGCATGAACAGAGAAACATGAAATTTAATTCCCTGCAAAGTCCAGTAATGTGGACCTTTATTTTGCATTACGTTTTGCACTCAAATGGTGTGTATGATTTGATCATTTACAGTCGGCGAAGGGCGAGCAGAAATACCAACTCATGCATGTGCAAATTACATATGGCACTTTCTTAGTCTCAAATATATATTTCTATATTCTTTGCTGACATGTATGCAATTTGATTGAACAATCAACCAATAAACATTTTGAAGTCTTAGTTTGAAGGATGTATTACGGGTATGCTTTTCTTGAAATAACACTACTTTTGTTAAACATAATGGCTCGTACCTTCTCCCTTTATTCCCTCTCCCTCCCTCCATCTATCTTTTTTCTTCATCCTCTTCATCTTTCTTTCTCTTCCTCTCTCAATCTCTCTCTTTCTTTCAAATCTTTCTTTCTATATATCCATCTCACACTTTCTTGTTTTCCTACTCTCCTTCTTCCTTTCTAGTATCTACTCTCCATCTTCCCCCATTGACTCACTCTCTTTGACTGCTTAACATAGGCCTAATGTCATTTCAATAAAAGATCCATCTTTTTCTCTTTCTCTGTCTCTTTTTAATCTGTCCTGCTTCCTCTCTCTTCTTATAGTTATGTTTACATCTTCTTTTCTAGTATTCCTTTCCCCACCCCCTCTCACTCTCTCACTCTCTCTCTCTCTCTCTCTCTCTCTCTCTCTCTCTCTCTTTCTCTCTCTCTCTTTCTCTCTCTCTCTCTCTCTCTCTCTCTTTCTCTCACACACACACACAACTCCGATCTCTTCTCTTATTCTCCTCAATCCACACGCTCCCCTTTCTTGGAAAAAAGGTCGCTTACCGTATAGGCATTTTCAACTGAAATGGAAATTTTCTTACCCAATAAAAAAAATATTTCAATTCTAAATCCTGCTTTATACCATACTTCTATTTCTCCCTCCCCCTTTTCATGCCTTGCTGAACGCATTACCTGCTTTAGATTGTCACAGGGCATTCACACCGCAAGCAAAAACCATTGTTTTTTTCTCACATTCTGCAGTTTTGTTGGAATTTGCTAGGCAAATACCCATAAACATTAAAAAAAACTTGAATAAAATAAACCAAAACTCTGCCGGTTTTTACAGTGTAAATGCCTGCTCTCAAGACACCAGTGAATTATTTTACATGGGTTACATGACTCCCCTCGCTTTTGTGCTAACGCATGCAGAGCAGTAAGGAGTGCCGCGTGCACAAAACGCGAAGAAAAAACAGATTTATTCAATGGTTTTCATGGGTTTTCCCGTAGTGTAAATTGAAGCTCACAAAGACGATGTTTTGTTATACTGATTTTACTGCAATGTAAATGGGCCTTCTATTCTGGAGCTGCCTGGCTGGTAAATGAGCCACATAATTGGTGTTCACTAAAGTGCAGGGGCTCGGATCATTTCACCTCTATACAAACCCATTCAGCGCACAGCAAACACCACCGTGAACTGGGGTCACTTCTTCCTCAAACCAACGTTTTGTCGCGAGCGATTCAATTAGGAGTTATTTGGGCTGAAATGGGTGGTAAACTGGCAATTGAAGCAGTCAGAATAAGAATTATGAGACCCTGGTGGTCTGGTGGGCATGCCATTGAGGTTTGAATATTTGCATTATGCAATGAAGTAGAGTCGTTTATTAACAGTAAACTCTGGAAAAAAGAGTTTTGCAGAGAAAAAGGAAAGCATTTATTAAATCTTATTATTTAGTTTATCATCAACTTCATGATAAGCTCTGTGTGAGCTAAAAAAATATACAGGTGTATACATGAGTTTCTTTTTTATCTACTCCGCGCCCCCCCCCCCCCCTATTTCTCTCTCCTCTCTCTCTCTCTCTCTCTCTCTCTCTCTCTCTCTCACTTTTATTCTTATTGTCATTTTGCTATTCTGACTTTCTTTTCTCTATCTTCTTGTTCAGTCTCTCTACTGCTCCAATGAACATCTGAACACCAGTATCTACATTGTATACTTCTTCCATTCTCCCCCCCCCCCAAAAAAAAAACTTATCCATCTATTTTCACTAAGCCCCTCCCCTCCCCCATTTTGACCCACTCAGTTTTCATCCCTCAATTATCACCCATGCTGCATTTTGGCTGAATGGCGCCAATTTGAGACCTTCAAAGTTATTATGCAGAAAACAAACAAAAAGACTTTGCCCTCCATGCAGTACCCTCCATTTCTCCCATCCTCTACCACTGCCACTCCCATCCCCCATTCCCCACCCCTTTTCCATCACCATGTCGACCCATCTTCTCACCTGTGCTGTATCTTGGCTAAACGTTGCCAAGTTGAGATCTCCGCAGTTATAATGCCATATAAGATCTTCTAACGTAGCCGTCTGCCTAATGGTCCCTGCTCGTAAACTCTCTTGATGCCACAGCGTTTGATTCAAGGCAAATATTTCCTGTAAGAAGAAAAAAATGAAATGAAATATATTTAAGACTATTTTTACAACAAAAATCCACTTTTATTCACAAGAATATGAGTATTTGACTTTTTAAAAGGCATGTCAAAGACATATACATATAACAAATATTTAAACTAAGGAGCGTAATGCAACAAGTGATCCATACTCTTGTAATCCGTCTTCTTCTTCCTCTCCTTCTCCTTATCATCATCATCATCATCATCGTCAACACCACTATCACCATCATCATCAACAACAATATTATCATTAATACAATGTTGTTATCATAAATTTATTTTTTACTATCAATATTTTTGTCATCACAAACACTAGGACATACACACTTTCACTCGCAAATACAACCACCGTACATGTATGTACTTTTCAGTTAATTCCTTTGCATTTTTGTCCTCACAACAGCAGGCTAATGAACGAGGGTTACATCATAAATCTTTGATCAGAGCCACTACATGCATCAGGTTTGAACTTTCATGAAGTCAACAAATAATAAACATCAAAAACGCCCAGAACAATATCAAACCAGCAACTGAATTCTACAAAGATAATCCTTCGTGATGGATGAAATTGAGAATTTCCATTGAAATTTGAACCCGTCTGTTTAACCAAAGTAGGGCAATGATTAATACCCCGGCTCTCTGCATCAGACTGCTATTACTTCCACACAACTGCTCGGAAATAGGCAGCTTAAGAAATATGGAGTTTTTTCATATTCCATTAAATAATCACTGTTTAAAGGCAAACTCAAGCCTCGGTGTGATGAAAAATAAAGTTGCCCGGAATCCAACAAAAATTTACGCAGAGTGTTGAGAATACAAATAAATTTTTATTTGCCAAAAGAGGTTGATAGAAAATGGACTGTTTTGACTTAATGAGTATACAAAGACAAGTAAATCAAGTTTCGCAAATACAGGTCAGTACTATAGACCTAGTCTCATGTATATGCTCATGTATATGCATCTGTTCAGTGATATTCGTCAGTGCATGTGATATTTACAGATTTTACAGGTTTGTTTAAATTGTTCAGGTCTAAATGCCCACTTTTCATTATGATAAACAGTGGTGAAACGACTTCAAACAGGACTTGCTCACAATGCCATCGGAACTCCTGATTAAATACATCTACAGGTACCTTTAATAGGATTTTGGAAGTCCAAGTTCATGGCTCACAATATAAACCCACAGTACGACAACCTCCTCCCCAGCGAGGCCGCCCTCGCTGCCTCCGGGGGAAATATTGTCTTGGAACAAAACACCCTTGTCAGAGAAAATATGGTGATATGAATTAGAGTTTAATTCCAAAAAGAGCTAAATCCATTTTTGTAACTTCGAAGAAAAAAGAAATTATTTACCAGATTTTGTACAGGCTTTTACGGAAAAGTGATATTAGAAGGTGCATTTTTTCATAATTGCTCCCAAAATGTATATAAACAATTTTGTTGAAAGACGGGTACTTACATGAACCTGTAAGTGAACAATGTTCTGATATCAATAACTCAATTTTTATCAAAAGTGGATTTAGGTCCGTTTGTAATTGATCAATTTAACATTTCACTAAGCCTGTATGGTTGGTTTTTTCATAATTGCTCCCAAAATTTATGTAAATAATTTTGTTGAAAGACAGGTACTTAGGTGAACAATGTTCTGCCTAATATCAATGACTCAATTTTCATCAAAAGTGGATTTAGCTCTGTTTGGAACTAAGCTCTTCATATGAATTTAACATTTCACTAAGCCCGTATGGTTGGTTTTTTGAAGTCGCAGGAAGGTGGGACTCACAGAATAAGGTTCTGGGAGGTATCAATCAAACTGTCAATCTAGATTAAGCTAGAATGGATGTAAAAGGGAACAGCTTACAAGCAAAAAGGCGGTTGAGATACAGCATGTACACGCACAAGTCACGCAAGTTGGGAATTGGTATGAAGTTGGAGTCGTGTTATATATACAAAAATTATGGCACAGTTGCCATGAGGTAAACTGTATCTATCAGCCATAAAGGTATTAAAACCCCACTGCACTACCTATAGCTACTTGCGCCCTCTATAGAGCAAACAATGCCTAATCGGTGACCATTGGTTTCCCATGGTCCCCTTTTTCTTATGTTTATTGAGAGCTGATTTAATGAGATAACCACAAGTCAGTGACCTTGCAGGGAGGTATAATCCCTCCTGGCCAAACTAGTGCAGATAGTCTTTAAAGGATATATATTGCATGATTATGTTTAACATGAAATTAATATCCATTCAAATGATGTTAATACAAATAAGCACAGAATCAAAACTGATATACGATTATAATCATAGACATTGTTCCCTAATTATGTCTTGATGTAAGCATTAGAATTTTGTGAACTGCTGATCTCTTGATGTTGCCCAGCTGCCGCTAGTGGTTGATATTGTCACTAAAAACTAAGATTAAAAACTAAAAACCTAGTTTCAACAACGCTTATTGTTTAAGTTGGAGTACATACAATGTAGGCCTACCGGTATACTATTAGCCTATAGGCTATAGTCGACATCTACATTGTACAAGCATGCTACATATATATTTTATACATTTACAGTATTCTAGTGTAGACTCTGTATATTTTATCAAATGATTTCAAGAGTGTGGAGGTGGCAAAGTATAATTAGGAACATACATGTACAGTAAACTAGAGAGAATTCATATCAATTTTATTCCATCAATTATTTGGAAGTGGCGATTACCTCAGGCTCAACGTTCCTTAGGATCAACACCCTTGCCCGGCAGGACCTTCACGTAATTATGACAGTACGATGTACATGTACTTCATAATTATACTCTGCAACTTGTTGGACTCAAAACCTACATGTATGCCAAGCAGACGACAGGGGTCTAGACCCGACGCAAGACGAGAATAGATAACACGAGACGTCGTGCCTTGGGGGGCTAGAATGCTCCTATCCCGGGTATCCCCACTGGTAGCCTACATCAACACCGACTCCCAGCTTGACTTTTCAACATTTGCCTCATATCGGTAATTTATTGGCAATAAGCAAGGTTTTATTCAATTTCTCACGTTACCACGTAAACTTGACACAAAAGTCTCCTGCACTGTTTTGGTTGGTGTGTTTTCTCTTGTGGAGAGGGTTCTTTCTACCTGTAACACATCAACTTCCAGCTCCACAAGAACAACATTAGTCTTCATCTTCTGACACTTACTTCTAACCAACTTCTTAATTTTTTGTTTCATTTATAATTAATAGTTTGTTCTTATTCATTATTATGCAAATGAATGTCTTTTTAATACATATTGTATTCATTCATAGCAGGAACTAGAGCGATATTAGTCCACATCTCCTAACTTAAACTTCTAACCAACTTCCCAACTTTTCGTTTCATTTACAAGGTGTTCTTATTCATTATTATTATGCAAATTTATATGATTGATGTTTTTTATATTGTATTTGTTCATATCTGGGCTCCCTTGTAAAGCAGGCATTCTCTGTGACTCTGAAGGGGACTTCATGTCCCTGCTTTTTTAAGAAACATGGATAAATAAATAAATAAAAAAGTAAATACATAAACAAATAAATAAATAAATAAATAAATAATCGTCTTGTGAATTGTTGTGTTTCATTTAGAGTTAAACCTGGAACTATGAGAGCAGATACCTCTATAAGATGCATTCAACAATCACATACATGTAAATGCCACTGTTCTAAACAGGACGTCATTTTTAAAATTTAATTTAATTTTTACTTTATCAAAGGAGATTATGTTACTTAAATCTTTTTCAAGTTGAAAGAATTGTGTCCATGATTACAAATTTGCCAGAGAATGACAACAAATTCCTCTTTGTACATGAGAACACGTTTTCTGCTCAAGAGCATATAAAGCCATGTGTTAAGAAATAAGAAGTGAAATTCGTTTCAGACAGGTTGAAGAACAGACTAGCTCCAATGTGAACTTGATCATGGAGAGAAAGAAGGTCAGAAGTCAACCGCTCTCCTCCTGAGAGAGTGAAGACAAACCAAGAAGCAAACGTGATAGAATGGTTTCCTTCCATCCAGTGCAAAGAAAGGGGCCCCCAAAAGACGTAAACGGTTCAACGGAGAAGAAGAGCTGATCTGCTTGTAATATATACAGGTGTATAAGAAGGAGACAAAGGAGAAGGAGATAGAATGGGAGAAGAAATACATGCAGGAAACAGGAGAAGTAGCGGACAGGTATACATAAAAGACCATTCAGAAATGTATGAGACAATACAAGACACATCACTTGGAAGAAACTCATGATGATATTGATAACACTAACTCTTCATACAGAAGAAAGGGATTCACTCAAACCTTCCTAATATGAAAATTCTGTCTACATTTTCATCTCTGAACCTCTTTGTTAAAAAACTGACGTTCCATTCCTCTGATGTAAACTAAGAACATCAAAGATGATGCGTGAATGATTCTTATGGTAGGGGAAATTGCACATCAATTGCGCATCAATATCATTCAGTGCATGCATCGTTGAATGATTAATCGAGTATGAGAGGGAAGGGCATGTCTCCAGTGCAAGGATGATCAAGAAGGTCTAGAAACTCTTTACATACAGTATAAATCATAATTCAATAAATTAATTAGCTTCGGAAGAATAACATCACTAACAATTATGAATGTATTGCAAGCCATTTTCGTGTCTATTGCACAGTAGTCACCTCCTCGTAAGCACGTTGATTATAATTCCCTGGCTAAATTTAGCCTGGCTCAAGTCTAGCTCACTGCCCTGCAAATGTATTGATAACAGGTAAATAGCAATGAACTTAACAGAGGTATAAAACAAGATGGCTTTACAATAAACATGTAAGAAGCTCTAAGCAAGGAAGGCTTTATTATGGACCCTATAACCATGTGATAAATGAGACAGAAAATGGATACAAACATTGCAATAGCCTATTTGTGTAAATGATAATAAAATGAAAAGTGCAATAAGAAGAGTAGATCCAAATTAAAGAAGTGGTTGAA